AGAAGTCACAAGCAACCCAAATTGAGAAGTCACAAGCGACCCCCGGTAGAAGTCACAAGCGACCCCTCTACCTTCCGGAATCTCTCAAAACCTGGCCTTGGGGCCTTCGGTCGAAGCACTTTGCGACCTTACACCAACTCCTTGTCTTCGGAAGAGACTGAACAAGAAGACAAGTAGCATCAAACTTGCTCGGGAAAGAGCATCCCCCCACAGGCTACAGGAATCAGCTGGGCAAGCAGGGCCTGATTCGAACCCCAGTGAGAAACGGCTTGGAAGTCCCGTTGCACGCTGTTGTGTAACTGTTCGTCGTGAGTCTAGGTTTCTGCTTCTCCATTGAGGTCAACAATCGAGATGAAATCTCAGACCCACCCAGAACATGAGACAACACAAAAAACAATAAATAACATCGAAAAGAGAAGCCTGCAGCAAATCGGCAAAACATCAACCCAGAATCAACAAAAAACGACACATCGGCCGAAAATCGACCAACAATCGGACAAACAACGGTCGAAAACCATCGACCAAAAATCGATGAAGTTGGAAAGCCAAAAATATGATCGAATTAATTTCGCTCTTTTCGCTTTTATTTCCGTTTCGGCTCAAAAAACAAAATCTAGGCTTCAACCCCCAATTTGCTTTCACAGAAACTAAAGAGGTGTTCATCACAGTGGCTGGCCTGGAAAAGGAGGCGACACCGGGGCATTTCTTACCTTCTCAGGACCTGCTTTGCCAAGTTGATGTATGGGATTGTATGGGAGCGCCGGCATGAAGGCCAGGTTGATGGCTGCAGAAGTCGTGAAGTTCGCCGGGCGACAGAAGCATTGCCAACGGCTCTGGGAGCCCTCGAAAGACTTTGCAGAGCGCGTCTGCATGCTGGAGCTGTCAAGGAGGTGCCCGGCGAAATTTCCATGATAATTAATGGGTCGGAGAGCTATGCTTGAGAAATGCTGAACAATGTCATGCAGGTTCTCCGCTGCAAGTGTGTGGGTCATTGAAGTAACCATCAATTTGGTTTCTTTTCTATTTTACAGTCTTTAGACATAAAAGACCTGAAGCAGAATACTTGCATGCAAACGCTGGCCTATCCCATATCAGCTGCCCAGCTTCTCCATTGCCTGGCGGAGCTCTGCAGCATGTCGCCAGTGCCAAGCAGCGGCTGTCGCGCAAAGCGCAGAGTCCAGCGACACCTCGTGCTGACTACGTTTCATGTGTCCATTGTGGTTGTGGGCTTCTTGGTGTCGGTGTTTGGATGCAAGTTTCTGGCGTTCCAACTCTGTTGTGTGACCCTATCCGCTCAGAAGATGCCAGCAACAAGCGGATCAATTCAGGGCTAGTCACCGAAGTGGCTGTCATCCGCAGGCTTGGGATTCCGGCAAGCAAGTGCCTCAGTCTTTTTCTTGTCCCTGGTGCTTGAAAGTTTCCTTGCAACGCCGCAATCAACAAAGAAACCTCTCTGCACACATAGTTGGATGCAGGCAATTCTGACTTGGCCAGCAGTCATCCCCTCCTCCATTCCCAGGTGCAGCACAGCCAACCAATTGCATCCTCCTTCCACTCATCAAGTGGAAGCATGCAAGCGTTTGCCTGGCGTTGCTTACATTCAGTTACCTGGAAGCTCAGTGAGGTATGCTCCGTCCTTTGAAGCACGCGCAAATTGCGGCATTGTGTGCCATTGGCTCTGCCTTCGTGCTGGCAGGTGTGGCTGAATGCAGTGGAATCCAGTGCGCATCTATGCAAGTCCAGCGATTTCACATACAAGATCAGTATTTCAAGCAACCATCTAAGGTCGCTGCTCCATGAGCTTGCAGGCCTGGACTCTCGCCTGAAGCCGGTGACAGCAGCTCTTTTCTTGACAAACGGCAGTGTATGTCCTCTGTGCCTATCTGGGGCCTGGCGTTTTTTGATTCATTCAATGTCCCCTGTGCTGTTTTGGACTTCCACAATTCACTCAAACTGAGCCGCGATCTGCCTGGAGCTGGCGCGTGTGCTGGCAGAAGACTTGGCAGAGAAGGTAACATGAGAACAGCCTGGGCAAAAAGAGCCAACAACCGGGATTCTACTGAGAGTCACATGAAGGTGGGCCTGCTTAGCTACCCAAACTGCAAGCCAGTCGCTGCAAGCCATTGAGAGCATTTTTCACAAGAGCTTGCAGTTGCATTGATAGAGGTCTCATCACCTCAAGTTATGCGGCTCTTGCTTTTCTGCAGTACTTTTAGAGAAGCAGGTGCCGAAACTACCCACTCTACACATTCAGCCAAAGAACGCTTCACCTGCAAAGAGGCCATGACCTCGGGGATAGAACATGGATGCCAACTTCACAAGAAGCCGAACCTAAATGCAATGCCGATGCTGCCAGCAAGCCTGCAAAACTGCGAGGGCATTCAACCAGCGGAAGCCTTTCTCGCAAGCAGAAATCGCGGAGTTACAGCCTTGTAGCAACGCGGAAGCTGCTCAGTGCTGTTTTGGTGATGTGAATAACATGCCACGTGATGACTAGCTTGCCCCGCCAAGATCAATCTGGGTGCATGTGGTGTTCGGCAACAAGGCAGCAGCACCCATGCAAGAAACCAGTTCCAGGGCCCAACTCCACTCGTAGCCCTTCTCACACGCACTGATGGTCGCACCATAACTGACCTGACAAAATCCAGAAGTTTTAGATGTAGGACTATGACCAGCCGGCAAACTTGCGCCCCAATCTCTGTAACCATATCATGATGATTTGCCATGTGTACCGTGGTAGTTCCACACTGCGCCTCATTTGAGAGCTGCAGATGTGCCTGAAGTAGGGCCATTGCACCAGTCCAGAAACTGGCGCCAATGCAGGAGCCGATGCTCGCAGAAAGGCTGAACTTGTCCTCTGCAAATGCTGGAAAGACTCTGGAAAGTTCACAGAAAATTAAGACTAAGTGGTAAGACAAGACCCATCCATGCGGCTTGCTACCCGCTGCACCTGTGAATTAAGCAAAGGTATGGAAAGATCCCAGAAAGAAACATCTGTTTATGGCGATGAGGGGCTGGGCTTAGCCGATGCTGTGGCAGCGCACGCAGCAGCGCGAAGCTGTGCTGCCAGGAGCGAGAGCTGAGACTGCTGTTGTAGCCGAAGAGGTCTGTCTCTGCCTGCTTAAGGCGTTATGATTCGTGGAAGGGGCAAGCCAAAACATACGTTTCATCAGCAGGAATTTCGAAACCTAGCCCTGCCCAGTAGCCTGCAAAGCTTTTGATGCGAGCACTTCCAGAGATGATGCCCAAGCAGCACCTTTCTGACATGCGCTGATGGTGGCATTGAACGTGATGGCAGATGGCTGCAGCCTCTTCAAGGGCCTCAACATGCTTAATCATGCTGACGGCCGATGCGCAATTTGAAGCCCAAGCCCGCACTGAGGTGATCTATCAAGTGCTACGGGGTTGTGCATCCCGCACAACATGATGTGCATCGCGTCGCCGGGTACTTCAAGTGCTGGAAAGCAAGGTGTGTCTCTGGCCGAGGGGCAGATCGCTCAGAAGCTCCAGGGCCTTAGCCACGCACATATCACTAGGGAAGGACTCAGCATTGCCATGAATCCTGCTGTGCGTGGGTCTTGAAGACAGAAGACACGAGACCAATACCGCCCTTGTTCGCAAGAGCTGATCACAGCATTCTGGGATATCGTATCTTCTGGTACCTGAAGTCCGATTGCCATGCAAAGGGATGGCACAACTCTGGTTCAGCACGGCTCCATGCAAACAGAATCCCCGAAAGCCCAGTACCAAAACGCGCACGCGCAAATACAAGGCCCCTTTTAATGTCTGGCCACTCGAGCTTGGTGCATCTCATCCAGCAGGTGTGCTGCCAAGCACCAATAGCTGGAACGGTGGGTGGCTGTTATTGAGCTGTTGTAACCTGAGTGGTTGGCGCGGTGTTCAGCCCTGACTTCTGAAGGGCCGTATGCCCGCAAGGTGCTGGAAGCCAACTCAAAAATCATTCAGGCGGCTGAAGGTTGACGGAACAAGCTGCGACATCCTCAGTGCCAAACACAATACCTGTGGATGTTGCTTGCAACATCTGTCGAAATGCGTGTGCGAGCTTTGGCCAAGACTTTTTGACTGCTGTGTGCTGGCTAGCGTCGACATTGTGGCCAGCAAGTCCGAAACTCTTGTCCAATGCTGCTTCGTGCCACAGGCAGATAGTGCCGAATTCACGCCCATGTTGTCCTTTGCCCGTACTTCGCTGCTGCTATTTCATGTCTGATCTTCTGGAAGTTCCAATCCAAAGCACCCAATCTTGGCATCATGGCCTTACTGTGGTGCCATATCTCCTACAGTACTTTTAAACTTGTATTCTCGCGCCCCTGAAATGGGGCTCATAATGCTCAAGCTGGTGTGATCTTCACATGATTTTTTTTTGGAGCATCTGTGGAACGGTGGATAGTGAGAAATCATGCTAATGCAGTCTGCCGCCCTATGAGCATCTTGGGCCCTCGTGTCTGTCTTTGTCCGGTACCGGTCACAGAGATGACGTGTCCGCTGCCCTTGAAAATAAACTCCCCACGTGAACGGCGGGAAGTCAAAACGCGGTCAGTCACGTTATGACCAGTCTTCCAAGTGAGCAGGGGTCAAAATCCTTATCCGGTTTCTTTGAAGGTAAGGAATTTGCTTACG